CGCACGAAATCACATGTGTTTTGATGATTACGTATTTCAAGTATTGGTTTTGTAGGGATTTTGTTTGATTGCATGGAGGATTACGTATTTGTGATGTAGACGTTCACAACCGTGTGTGTGTGTATGCGTGTTTGTCCTAACAGAGTATATAAACGTTGCGTATTATGTGTATTTCTATATGTGGTTGTATACGCCTACAAAAGTCTATCTAACATACAGACAATGATTTCTGTCTCTTTACTTCATTTTGATTGGCTGTTTTCCTTCCCCATATCAACATAGTTATCAGCTGATATATATATATATATATATATATATATATATATATATATATATATATATATATATATATATATATATATATATGTCTCAAATTGAGGAAAACGATATTACTCGTAGTTAATAGTCTGTGAAATTGTTTGTTGTTGCAACTCAAATTAGCGTTTGTTTTTCGTGTGGAGATGCCTTTCAAGCGCTTACTTCTTTCTGTCTTCTCTGTCCTCCAGTTTAAAAATAATTACACTAACTTGATTTGTTAACATTCTACTAGAACTTTTCATTCACCTTTGTTGTGAATCATTACACTACTAGATTATAATATTGTTTGAAAATTCCCATTCAGTCATAGAAAAGAAAAAGTGTTCAGCAAAGAGTTACTCTTTTCGGCGATATCATTCTCAAGCTGTACAAATCGCAAATTTATAGTAATTTTTCTTGGCAACAAAAGGAATATTTCCAAAGATGTGTTAATGCAATTGTTAGTTTTTGACAAACAGATTACGTAATTTTGAAGGCGTTAATCGGTTAGAAACTAAAATAAAGTTACAAAAGTAGGTTGGGTGACGTAATCTAATTGGTAGGGTTCAATGAAAAAATGAATGAGAGTCAAGTTAATAATCTGAGTAGAATTCACTTGAAAATGAATGAGAGTTAAGTTAATAAGCTGAGTAGAATTCACTTAAAAATAATAAACAGTTGGGTGCCTATATATACAAAACGAAATCTGATCCGCTCACTGACTCACAGAATCCACAACATTTGCAGTCCGGAAACTATAGAAGAAGAGCTGAAGACCCTGAAAAGAATCCTTCTTGAAAACGGTTACCCGGAACGTTTCATCACAAAAGCTATGAAGCCGAAAACACAAAAACCATCCATGCTTACTGCTCCCAAGAAACTTCTCTATTTGAATCTACAATTCAACGGAGATTCTTCAGCAGAAATACTTAGAAACCGCCTGTGCCGTTCACTGAAGAAAACCTTCTTCGCAGCGGAACTCAGACTAACTTTCTCTACGAAACCAATGATTCGCACGAACGTGAAGGATAAGCTTCCACTGGGGGCCTCATCAATGTGCATCTACCAATTCACCTGCTCATGTGGAGCTAGGTATGTCGGCCGTACCCAGCGTTTGCTATCCAAACGAATCAGCGAACACTTACCTTCATGGTTTTATAAAGGAGAAAGAAGATCCCCCCGCCACAGCTCTATCCTAGAACACTTGATCGAATCCGGACACCAAGCAAACCCACAAAACAACTTCTCAGTTATCTACACAATACGTGGAAATCTTGCCAAAAGAGTACGAATTAAACTTCTTCAAACTGCAGAAGCAATGGCAATTCACATATTGAATCCTGAACTCTGCATACAAAAGAAGTTTGTTCAGTCACTCAATCTACAATGGTCCTGATCTATCTTAACACCAAATACGTAATTTTGTCTTACCTCTTTCTTCTTTGTTTGTCTATTTCTTAATTGCATTATTTTCTACCCCCACCCTCTATTAAATCTCTACGCTCATGACGACTGTTGCTAACTCGATTTTCGTTTATTTTTAAGTGAATTCTACTCAGCTTATTAACTTAACTCTCATTCATTTTCAAGTGAATTCTACTCAGATTATTAACTTGACTCTCATTCATTTTTTCATTGAACCCTACCAATTAGATTACGTCACCCAACCTACTTTTGTAACTTTATTTTAGTTTCTAACCGATTAACGCCTTCAAAATTACGTAATCTGTTTGTCAAAAACTAACAATTGCATTAACACATCTTTGGAAATATTCCTTTTGTTGCCAAGACAAATTACTATAAATTTGCGATTTGTACAGCTTGAGAATGATATCGCCGAAAAGAGTAACTCTTTGCTGAACACTTTTTCTTTTCTATAATATTGTTATCAGAATTCTACTACGTGTATCATTGTTTATCTCAGTCAAATATGATTGAATAGTCAGCTTTTGGTAATTTGTTCACGCATATGCAATCTTTTGACGTCATCTTTTTTGATGTAGTTAACAGTGTGTGTTGTAAACAAATACTTGACGTGTATTGTGAAGTAATTGAAAAATGCATATGAATAATTATGTCCAGATTCTAGTTCATGCAGACTTTTGCGTTTGCATTTGTAGGTGACCTCAGCACTTTTTGGGTGCTCTTTATCTAAGCTCTTACTGTTGACTTTATAACATTGCATCATTTTAATGGAGGTGGACGGGGGGAGGGAGAATAATTCTTGGTGAAGCGAAAACTTAATCCTAAGCAGCACCATCATTTGATGAGGAATAAACAACCTCTGAATCACTCGTTGATTTCTAGGGTTCTCCTCCTAAACATATTTATCTCATTTATTTCTTTTTTTATATTTTTGATTACAGCTTGATTCCACACCGTATTTTTGGTACAAGTATGGAATTTTCAGCATGGATATCGGTAGCCCAGATTTTAAGGCCGACCATAGATATCAGGTGTGCGTCGGTAGGGGAACGAACTTCGAACCATGTGCATGGTCGGCGAGAATCCTAACCACTGTGCCACCAATGCACAGTTGAAGTTTACAATTTCATAAATCTTCGTAAAGACACTCGTTTATTTTTTTCAGTAATAAATTAACTGCACTCACTATGGAAAATAAAATCCGGATTTTCAACCCCAATGTGAAATCAATGCTACTATACGGATCAGAGAATTGAAGCGTCACAAAGGGCACTTCAAACAAACTACAGACTTTCATCAACAGCTGTCTTCGCTCTATACCACTCAAGATCAGATGGCCAGAAAAGATCAGCAACAGTGAGGGGGATCTCTGTGAAAGGAACCAACCAGGGAATAATTGTGCAACAAACATGTAAGAGGAAATGCAGGTGGATTGGCTATACTCTGAGAAAACAAACCATCAAGTGACATCACACGGCAGCCTCTCTAGTGGAACCGAAACGGGAAGCGGCAAGTTAGTTGTCAGTGCGAGAGTGACATGGAAGAGGTCATACGTAGAGGAGATGAAAGTATGTGGGCAGATGTGGAATCAGATGAAAACGTTGGCGGAGAACCGAACACAGTGGAGACGTGCGGTTGATCTCATGTTCTTCTAGGAATTAAAGGAAACAATAATTCAATAATAATAGTAATAATGATTACTGAATATGTCTGGAATTTTCGTCTACAGTGGACACATATATCCTTTATTTATTCGATATGATGAACATTTTATTTTGAAGGTGTCGTTCATTAACAGTAGAAACCACACTACTGCAAAAGATGACGATATTCCCCAATATCATTACTCTAATCCTTTTTAGCTATATAGCTCAATAGAATTTTTGTTTTCAATGTAATCATTTAAATAATACAGTTACAGTAAAATGAACTTGTATTCAAATAACTGTACACATTATCCGATGATAGATAATGTTTATATTAGTTTAATTTTAGGACATTAAAAGTTGTACAAAATTCCCACAGACATCCACATCAATTTATGTGTGTGTGTGTGTGGGCGGGTAGGTATGCTTCGTTTGTATTCAGTAGTTTTCATTCATTCGTCATTAAAATTTACACAGTAATTAGGTATTTATCTAATCCCCCTTAGAATAAATGAAATATTGAATTTTTTTTCAAGATACATATTGATATACTTTCAGGACATTTTGATAGAAAAAAAACATTTTCTGTGTGTGTGTATTTGTTTTTGTTTTTAAATATGATCGAAACTGTCCATCTTCTTCTTGCTTAGAAAGTACAACTGGTGAAAGAATAATCAAATACGCATACAAATATGTCATCCTTTTGTAAATAACTTGCTTATTAGCTATTTTCGGTTATTTCCGTTGTTGTCGTTTAATAAATTCATTACTATATCAAATCAATCAGTAGGATTTAGCGTTGAGCTTACTTCAGTCTGAGCAACAACTGGTTAGTTTCATCAGCCCACGCACCGTGGTTAAGACTCTCGCCGACCATACACATGGTCCGAGGTTCGATTCCCTGCCGACGCACACCTGATATCATCTATGGTCGGCCTGCAAAATTTGGGCTACCGATATCACATGCTGAAAAGTCCATACTTGTACCAAAAATACAGTGTGGAATCAAGCTGTAATCAAAAAAATAAATAAATATGATTCATATCCTGCAGTACAAAATGCTTGTCTCGGTTCTGTTTTAACCCTTGCATCCCATGAGAAATATTGGGTTTAACTCGGCGGTGTTATTGTTTAAACAGGGGCAAAGTTGATAGTCTCATGCCGAACCTTCCCTATTTTCTGGGCGTTTTACGCACCAGTAAACTAGGCACAGTTTAGGAGTGCATTAACCAAGAATCTCACCCACACCTGCCGTGTGGCTGTCGGGTACTCCACCATTGAACCGCCGAACAACTGGTTTGATTCTTGTGTCTGTCTGGTGGTTTCAATGTATAACTACAGTATCCTTCGTTTACTTTTCGTTTGTTTGTTTTATTTCGTGTGAATACTTCTGGTCTTTATCAATGGTATATTTTTCCGGGCTTAAGTAGTCAATAGTTTCCCTAAGAAATGGCTTCATTTATCAAATCAAAAGATGATAACGATGAAAGCAGATTTTGACAACTTGTCTGAGTTAGGCAGACACTTGTCGGCGGTCTTGGTTTCAATTTAATAGAGAGAGAGAGAGTTTATCGTTTTCATCTGATGCAGCTAATCAAGTATTTGTTCTTCTTTATCTTTGCTGTTTTATAGCATGTGAACAAGTAATACGTAGTATGCTGTCTAGAGAACCAAGTGAACGTCCAAATACTAAGCGTATTAGTCAATTTCCATGGTTCACATCATCAACAATTCATAGTAGCTGTTATCGTGAAAAGAATATTGCAAATGTTATGTCTAATTCATTGGCCACAATGCATTTAAATAATCAACCGAATAATTTACATAAACGACAAATATTAGCACCTAATCCTCCTGGTAATACGAAAAATTCTAACAAATCTACAGAGTGTGATTTAATTCAACCAATGTTTATTTTAAAACATTGTTCGTGTGATTGTACATCGAAATTTTCATGGAGTAAAGATGATTTACAAAGTCCTGGACCAAATTTAGCTGCTGAAATGAGAGTAAGCTGTCATCTTAGTGTTTAACTGAGTGCATAATAGACTTAGAAAGCAACTTATATTGTTAAATTATTTAGTGCTTCATTATATTGTCCTCCTTTAATCCTTTTTTATGATTAATATCATTATTTCTCCTCTTTTTGTTTGGAATTGAATTAAACTGCTAATATGTGTATGCGTTTATATGTTTTTCTACACTGGCTAATCCAGAGTAATTTCAGAAACAATCATTAAAATTCATCTGATGCTCACTAGTGACTAGCCCTATTCAGGCAGTTAACCTGGGGTTCTAGTGGGAAGCCGTGACCAGTAGGGTGCAGCAGTTTGAAGGTAAGGCAGTAACTTGTCGAAGAAGATATTGTGAAGTGGTCTCGCTGTATCATGAATCGGCAGAAGTTAGAATTCATGGACTGACCATTGGATCGGATCTCAGTAGCTTAATGGTCTACGAGCTAGCTGGTCTTGTAACCAGAGTGTTCTTGGGTTCGAACCCGGCTGGGTAGGTGTGTACTTCTGAAGAGTCCCAAACTAGGACCACAGAAACAGCTGTCTGGCAGTACTCCCTGCAGGTTTTCCAATGGTTCTATGACTGATATCAGCTTATGATGAAATCCTCTAACCATTACAACAGACATTGAGTTACAGAACATAAATTCTGTAGTATTATGTGTCTAGTGAATATCCCAGTGGAGTTTAAAATGTGAATCTCATTTTCTTTCTGAACAATACCAACTTCAGAGTGTTAGTCATAATTGTCCAATTTTTTCATCTCAGTGTATGTGTAAGATAATTCTTAACTGTCTTACTTCTACTTTTAACATAATACGTAATAACTTTTTTGTTTTCATTTACTTTGTAAAGGTCGGTAAGCTAAACGAATTGGTTATTATGATCATGGAGTCGTACGGAATGTGTCGTACACAAATTCTCAAAGTGAGTTAAGTGAATTGTTTTGTTGTTGGGAATTAAGTTACTTAATATATATATATATTAAATATTATGCAAATAAAAATAAGAGAGTGAAAAGAAACGGGGAATTGTTGTCAGAAAGTAGTGCAGGTTTCTTAAATATTTAAATCCATTTTGCTGGATGTATAAGCATAAGTGCTGTTTCTTTTTTAAATTGGCAAAATATATATTAACCTTTCGGATGATTAAGAAATACACTATCTTGACCTTGAGGTCGACCACCCTGTTGAATGCTAAGTGTAGACCGACCTAACACAAATATCAAAGAAATGTACGCGAGACAGAACAGTATCACGCAAAAAACATAAGCGTTTAATGTATTCGATGGATTCAAAGTAATGAATGCATATCTGCAGCATATTGAGAACAATTTCGTGCCCTGTCACTAAACAGTCTACAGCCATTAATTCTTAGCATTTCATGCACCACAACCATGCAGTCTGGATCTCCGTGTGTGTAGGTCAGACGAGCTGTCAACGACTTCAACCATGTTTTGTTTTGGCCACCACTAGATCTTTTTCAATCTCATCAATCCTACTTCAGCTTGTTGAGGAAGATGAGGGCTCGATATGTGCACCACTTAGCCCTAGCCATCTCAATCACAACCTCAGCGAATAGACTTTTCAGAATACACAAAAGTTATAAGTATAAAACGCGGGCACTGTGGTAGAGCATAACTCTATTATGGATAAGATTTTATTTTGATAAATCACACTGATGACGTTTCGAGCACAAACTATTGCCACTCATAATCATATGAAGTTACTCACACAACTTTTTCCCTTCATTTATATACATGTCTGGAAGCGATTAGATATTTGAATAAAAATCAATATGTGATAATGTACATTCAGAAATAATAATACGAGTGTTGTTGATCAATTACAATCAGATGGGAAATTAGACGAGTGTTTTTATCGTCATAATAAGCTACTTGTTAGAATGTTGTGATGTGTTTGAATTGGAATAGAATTTAAAGATTATTTATTATCCTCTTCTGATTTGACTAACTGGTGGCGATAATATCTTCCATATTTCTGGCATTTGCATTGAGTCATTTATGTTGCATGTGTTGGGTGTAGACTCGATGAATAAGCATTCCGTAATCAATCTCTCTCCCCATCTACCTATATTCCTTTTTAGAATTTTTACCCTCTCGCACCCTATTGTGTGGTTGTTTGTTATTGCGTGAAGTGCAATAGCTGAGCGTTTTTCTAAATTACTTATCTTTCGGGGTTAATTATTCTTCCCTTAGCTAAATTCTTATGTTCTGATAATTTGACTACCCCCGACCTACTAGTTTGACCTATGTAGTTGACCTCACAGTCACTGCAGCGTATTTTGTAAATTATATTATTTTGTCTAATTGGGTCAACAGGGTGCTGTAACGTACAGAGTTTGTAGGTTTGAATGCCACCCTAATTCCTGCTTTATTAAGAATCCTACGTAGGGTCTCAGATGTTCCCTCCTTATATGGTATAACAGTAGATGACTTATATTCTCTCTTATTTATGTTATCATTACTGGTTTCACAATTATTTTTCTTTTGTTTTCGGCCTTTACTGATCTTCCTAATGAATTTTATAGGATAGTTATTCAACACCAACGCTTCTTCTCTCTGTTTTATTTCGTCATTTAGGTTTTTTTTGTGCTACTTAGAGCCACTGCTCGGTTTGTTAAACAATTAACTAAGCCTGCCTTAACAGTTAACGGACGAGACAAATTAAAGTCTAAATATCTATTAGAATGCGTTGGTTTTTTATAAACACTAGTGTGAATTTTGCCTCCTTCTATTCGTTTTATCTTACAATCTAACATAGCTAATTCCCCTTGTTCATTTTCTGATTCAAATGTGAATTTTAATCCCTCTACTAGTGAGTTTATATGTGTCAAGAAGCTAGAGATATGTTCCGTTTTTAACACTGTGAAAGTGTCATCCACATATCTCCACCATATTTATGGAGTAGGATTAAATGTATTAAGAGCACTATTTTCCCAACTGTCCATAAATATGTCTGCTACGTTAGGGGAGTAACTTGATATGATTATGAGTGGCAATGGTTTGTGCTGGAAACGTGGGCATCAGTTAATATTACTGTACAACACTGTGTGATTTATCAAAACAAAAATCTTATCTATAATGGAGTTACACAAAAGGTAATTAGTTTTCCTCTTTGTTTTGTGTACTACAGAAGTTCTACTGTATTCTGCGTAATTATACATAAACTACGTTATAGGTTAAATGGTCACTGTAATATTGAAATATGCGTGATGGCATATGCATAGAATAAAACGAAGAATTAATTTTCGGATTAGCACAATATCATTTTATTGTTTCACATGGTCTAAACAATTAAATAAAATTATTAAAAATCATATGTCTCTACGTCAAAGTTGGCTAGCACACCAATACGCGTATGTGTGATCTTCGTCACTATTTTGTATTTGTAGCGGTTTTATATGACCAGTGAATAATTCTATGAAGCCTCATAGCCATATAATATAATAAATAATAATTATTATTATTAGTGGTAGTAGTATACATTTGGTATTTATAATCAATGTGAATTTTAGGTCTAAATCAGTGTTGTATAAGCTAACTTTTGGAATTGTTTTGTATAAGCTGTTCAATAGGCTTATTACATCATATGCTATGTGAAGTTTATATTATTACACAGATTTGTATTTCACCTTTGCTCTCTAGCAGCAGGCTTGTAAATCCGACACATTGTGAATTGTTTTATTGCTCTATAGCCTCTCAATTATTATTCTCGTTGACACGAGCTAGTTGTGTATTCAACCTTGAGCTGTGCACAATACTATGAAATTATCATGCTTCTTTTCTCACTTTATAAGTAAGCGATAAAATAACCTACTTCAGAAATAGTTCACACTGATAATTTTCCTAACAAGCAGAAATGAAACCAACACTTGATTATACCAGAAAAAAAAATTTGTATCGATCGTGATGCACAGATGATGATAACTCAACCCCCTCCTCTTACAGTTCATAAACTCTTGCATCCTACCTATTCTTCTTTATTGTTCCCCCTTATTCTTTCCTGGTTTGCTTAAAAAGGACTATGTCACAATTCGTAGAATGCTGAAGACTATCAGTAGGGTGAGTGGTGTCCCAGTGGACCACATAGTTAACATCGTTGTCGATAGGCACTTGACTTCGTGCAATAAATTTGCTAAAGGGATTTCGTCTGACTTGGAGCATCCGCTTTACCCTCAGCTTTCAACTTGCATCTCCTCAGGTAGAACAAGGAGTAACTTCAGAAAACTGTATGCTCGCACGTCTAAGCATAAAAATTCTATGATACCATACTTGTCACGTATTTTATGTGATGAAAATAGTGTCAGGCAAGAATTAACTAACCTTTTTTCATCTAGTAAATAAACAATTTCCTCCATCCATCCTTATATACCATCAAGTTTTACTTTTATTATTTCTATTATATTTATGGTCCTGTTGCTTTTTTGTTTTACTTTCATAATTGCAAGCACCAACTTATCTCTATGACTGCTGTAATCTTTGTTTTCCCCTCACCATATCATGTAAAGAGAATATTATATTCAATATTTTAAAACATGCTAGGATTTCTATACGGCATCGATAATACTGTGTGAAACAAGCCCACTGCAATTCTCACTTGTGTCATTATTATTACCTTAGCAGTTATCATTATCATTATTATTTCCATTTTATATGCTGCGTGTTTCTGACATTACCCCTATTGTAAATGTGGAAAATTTTCTGTGATTAATTTTATTTATAATTTGAGGAAATTAGATGCAATATTGTGATTAATGCTGAAAATTCCATTCTGTATCACAATTACTGTTTTTGGAATAAAGTAAATCTTTATTATTATTATTATTGGTAGTATTGTCAAAAGTTAGTTTGTAGGGGTTTGATTTAATTCAATCTTGACCCTGTGGCTTGAGAACCATTGAAAACCAGAAGGGATTGGTGTACAGCTGTACATCTACTGATGATGAGTACCAGACCAGGACGAAACGACTGTCCAGTACTCCCGTTTAGTTTTTAATGGTTCTCTAACTGATATCAATCTGTGGTCAAACATGGTAGTAGTTTTTGGCTTTTAGCACTCAAACTGAATGGCATATTGGTGTTCTAGCACTCTACGTCATCTGAATCACTGCGCCCACGTATTCAGAACATTTAAAGTAGAATTTCACATTAACGTTTATCTATTCCTCGCAAGATGACGAAAATGACAGAAATAATAATAATGACAGTAAATTACAGATACTTCTAATAATAATATTAAATTATGTCCGTCTATACATAAAAGAGTTGTGAGAAAAAAAAATCAAGATTGGTAGTACATGTCCACCTTCGTTTAAAATTGTCATCTATTTTATGATTACTTCATCTGCATGAACAACAGTGTGCTACATTGAAATGCAAACTTACTCACTGTACACGTCTTATTGTAATAAAATAAATACCTGTGACATCATTGACCTTAACTGCTTTGAAAACAAGTTGACCACCTGTCTGTGAATTTGTGCGTTGATTATTATTATTATTATTATTTGATCATTAAATTAGTAAACTCGCTAAATCAATCTCTGACGCATTCATCATGATGAAAAGAGAGAGTCTGTGTGTGTAGAAAACAAACAGTTCAAGAACGTAGTATGCTTATGAATTTATAGTTGAAATAGTTGTTTGTTTCGTTGGTTTTTACCATGATAAATTATTTCACCAGTTTAAACAATTTATGGTTAAATTCTTCACATTTAGACCTAAATCCGTCACTTAGTATAATTAAGTTACATTGGATTCTTTCAGCATCAATTTGTGCCTCAAGTTTACAGTTAGTAAATCTCTATGTGATGATGACACATGTCGACTGATTGATACCGGAAGGCTTAGCGAAGCTTTTGAAGTGAAGATTGGAGTAAGAGTAAGCTGCCTACCATCACTGATGATATTCCTGATTTCGATAGACTGGATCATGCAACACGCCGAAGAGAGACCGTTGGGTGACATCACGCATTGAGCCTATTCAAGTGGAACTCGAATGTGAGAAGATGAGTCAGGAGTCTGAGAGTGACACAGAAAGGAGATCGTTGCGAGGAGGAAATGAAACCTTATAAGCGACCGTGAAGCAAGCTTTAAGAAAGACTACAGAGAACATAGCGAAATCTGGGTGTGCCATTGAAGCCCTATGTTCCACTAGGAACCCGGAGGGAATAATAATAATATAACATCTCTGAATTTGATTGTATGGAGGATTTCATCATGAGCTGATATCAGTTAGAGAACCACTGGAGAACCTGGGAGTACTGGACAGCTATTTCGTCCTAGTTTGGGATTCTTCATCAGTACGCACCCACCGGAGTTTGAAGCCAGGACCTTCTGGTTACAAGGCGAGCTCGTAGATCATTGAACCACTGGGACCCGATTCAATGGTCCTTGAATTCTAACTTCTGCCAATTCACGACACAGTGCGACCATTTCGCAATGTCTTCTTCGATAAGTTACTGCCTCATCTTTGACCTGTTGTACCCTACTGGTCTCTCATTTTCTATAGTTGTATTAAAAACGTCTTATCGTAAAGCAAGAACAAGAAATAGTGTAGGATGAATTGAGTTCGATTTCACTTCATATGCTCCAAATTTCCCACAATAATTGAAGATATTATTGTGGAATACGGATGATTTCACATACTTCAATGGTACGATCAACATCGAATAAGTGCCTGCACATCTATTATCATTATTATTATTATTGCTCTCTTGGGTTCCTAGTGGAACATAGGGCTTCAACTGCACGTCTCCATTTCCTTCTGTCTTCTGCTGTACTTTTCGCCTGCATCCATGTTAGTCCATATTCTTTCAACTCCTCTTCACACGATCTCCTCCATGTCACCCTTGGACGTCCCACACGCCGCTTCCCTTTCGGGTTCCACTCGAGGGCTTGACACGCCAGCGGTCTCCTCAGCGAGTGTCCGATCCATCTCCACTTTCTCCTGCATATTTGTTGGGCGATTGGTTCTTGCTTTGTTTGTTCCCATAATTCCTTGTTGGTGATTCTTTCCGGCCATCTGATCTTCAGTATAGAGCGAAGACAGTTGTTAATAAAGGTCTGCAGCCTTTTGGAAATATTCTTTGTGACCCGCCAAGTTTCTGATCCGTATAGAAGAACTGACTGACTTGACGTTTGTATTGAAAATCCGAATTTTGTTGGTGATGCTGAGTGACGAAGATTTCCAGATTGATTTCAGGTTGATGAATGTGTTTCTCGCCTTCCCGATTCTCGCTCGATTTGACATCCTCGTCCGCTCCTCCTGTAGTTGAGACAATGCTCCCTAGATAAGTGAATGAATGAGTAACCTCTTTCAAATCCCTCCCGTTGATGGTGATTGGCACTGGATGTTGCGCTGTTGTTGTTGGTTGGTTATTTTCATAACCTCCGTCTTGTCTATGTTTACCTGGAGTCCTGTCTTTGCTGCTTCTTCGACCAGTTTGTCGGTTTTCGCTTGTAAGTCTTCGATTGTGTGTGACATCAAACATAAATCATCTCCGCGCGAAATCCAGGTCTTCTAGGTTCTTCACGTCGGTCCAGGATATTCCTGTCTTCTCGTTTCCCACTGTCTGACGCATAATCCGTCAGTCCACCACAATTAGGAATATCATTGGTGATAGATAAGCACCCTTGTCTGACTCCTGTGTTTACTCCAAACGCCTCGCTGAGTTTTCCGTTGTGGATCACTTGACATGTGCCGTTGTCGTACAGCTGTTGAATAAGGTTGATGAATATTTGGGGTACGCCATAGTACTCGAGTAATTTCCAAATTACTTCACGATCAACGCTGTCGAAGGCCTTCTCAAAGTCTATAAAGTTGAGGTAGAGGTTTGATTGCCATTCCATGCTTTGTTCTGTGATGATGATGCGTAGAGTTGCAATTTGGTCAGTACATGATTTGCCTTTCCTGAATCCAGCTTGTTCTGGTCGGAGTTCTGTCTCCAGTGCGTCCTTTAATCTCTCCAGGATGATGCGACTCAGGATTTTACTTGGCGTCGATAGGAGCATGATTCCTCGCCAGTTCTTGCAGAGTGAGGTGTAAGTCGCCCTTCTTTGGTAGTTTCACGAGGTAACCTTTCCTCCAGTCAGTAGGCACCTTTCCCTCCTTCCAGACCTTTTGCAATAATGGAGTCAGCATGTCTGCTGTAGTCTCTGGGTCCGCTTTCAGTGCTTCAGGGGGTATTCCATCTGGTCCGGCTGCTTTTCCAGCTTTCAGAAGCTTGATTTTGTTCAAGACTTCAGCTCTCGTTGGAGGATTGGTGTCAACTTGCAGTTGTGTGTGCGCTGTTGTTGGTATTTCTGGACGGGTTGCAGGTGATGGTCGGTTCAAGAGTCCTTTGAAGTGATCCGCCCATTGTTTAATCTGTTTTTCTTCCTTGGTAATTGGGTTCCCTTGGCTGTCTTTTATAGGTTTCGCTTGTGTTGGTCTCTTCCCGGATAGAGATTTGGTTATCTGATATAGTGTCCTCAGGTCCCTTTTGCCTGCTGCCTTCTCAGCTTCAGTGGCGAGGTTGTCGTAGAATCGTCTTTTGTCCTTCCTAGCACTCTTCTTCACTTCTTTGTCCAGTGCTTTGTAAGTTGAGCTCAGCGTCTCCTTCTCCTGTCCGTCCTTGCATTGAATCATTTTCTCTTTCACCATTCTCCTCTCTTCTATTAATTTCCAAGTGTCCGTTGAGAGCCATTCCTTGTCTTGTCTCTTCTTTCTTCCTAGAACCGTTGAACACGTTTCGTTGAGAATCGCCTTCAGAGACTTCCAATGTTCTTCCACGCATGATTCTTCAGTGATGTCGCGTAGTGTTTCCTGCTTTGCTCTGACAGTTGCAGTGAAAGTGTCTTTTGTGGTTGTGTCCTTCAGTTTCTGAGTGTTGAACTTGCATTGTGGTCTATATCCAGCTATCCTCGAGGCTGCACATTTATACAACAGTATATGTTTGGATTGAGTTTATAGTATGATCTGTCATCTTATTAACGATTTATACTTCTGTTTATAATGAGTAATCGGGTCATGAACTGTCATTTTGATTCTCTTAAATATATGTGTATACTTATTATATGCTGATTGCACCACTGAAGTATATCAAATTATTTGAATTTGACAATATCTTCAATTCAAATTCGGGTCCCAGTGACTTAATGGTCTACTAACTCGCCTTGTAACCGGAAGGTCTTGGATTCGAACGCCGGCGATTGCGTACTGACGTATAGTCGCTGATTAGGAGGAAACAGCTGACCAATACTCCCTACAGGTTTTCAAATGGTTCTCTAACTGATGTCAGCTCATGATTATACCTTCATTTATTGAATTTTACAGGAATTTTCAATTTTGTACATTTGTGTGTGTGTTGAAATTCAATTCCATCCTATTGAGTTTGTTGTTCTTGCTTTAAAAGCATCTTGTTGTCTTATAATTTTCAACAATAAATATCAGAATTTAAACATTTTACAATTCTTTCAGACATTTTTTTCGAATATAAAACAACCACAACAACGCATTATTTCCGTTTAAATTCCCTTGGGTATTGCAATATTCTCTCTTATTTATTAAATTTAATAGATATTTTATCTATTGTATTATTATTCCCATATCCTTTTCGTTCCGCATGGTGGGCATATGGCCTCAGCAGCACGTCTCCATTTCACTTCGTTCTCTCCAGTCATCTATTAGCGGACTTCATAATTGCCTATAACCTTTTATCTCCTCCTCACATGATCTCCTCCATGTCACTCTTCGAAGCGCGACGCGTCACATGCCATTTGGGTTTCACTCGAGGCCTGGCACCTGACGGTATTCAATGGTCTCAGGGTATATATCCAGTCCATACCCAATCTCTTCTGCATATTTGCTCAGCCATAGGTTCTTTGTTACCAGATTTCTTTTTCATTTATACTTTCTTGACCAGCCATCTGATCTTCAATGTCGAGCGGAGACACAGTTGTTGATGAAAGTCTGTTCAGCCTTTTGGAAATGCTTTAAATGATCCACCAAGTCATTGAATCATTGACTTGACATTGGTGTTGGAGATATCTGGATCATTTTTCTTGATTCTGAGTGTAGTAAATTTCCATACTGAATTCAGAGCAACGAAGGTCTCCCATTGCTGACAGTGGACAGCCTGTGTCTTACTCCTGTCCTCACTTCAAAAATTTCTCTGATACAAGGTTTCTTTATTTAAAGTCATTTCCAGTTAATTATCTATGAGTATGCGGGATTTTTTTAACTTGAAAAAGTATCTAGTATCAAAAGTGATATTTGTCACTAGCCTTGTTTCTCTTCTGAAAATATTATGTTATCACAGTGTTTATCTTTTGTTCTTAAGTATGATTAGCTAAACAACATTTGCCAAATAGTTTAATCCCAGTATCACTGTTATTTTGTTACCAACTTTTTTTTATTTTACTTTTCAGTCACTTCTGCGTTGTGCCTACGATCATATAACAGCTACTTATCTCTTATTGGGTGAAAAATTACGCCTACACAACCTTAACATTGACACAGCTAATACACCTATCACAGATTCTGGAATAATTATGCCCAATTGTGATCATCCAAGAACATCGTGTTATTCAATCATGAATCCAGAGAATGAAAATGTGTTACATACATCTCATCCAAAAGATGCAATTGACAATTCAGATTCTGTTATGATACCGAAATCCATTCCCTCACCTCAACCATCATCATCATCACCTATATCAGTACCGCCTATATCCGAGACGGACTATTCAAATATACCTTCAAGTTTACCTCCAGTGTTTCCCTTCTCTTCTATTAATCCAATGAATATGGATCTTCCGATATCTAGTTGTTCATCGTCTGCAGAACGGTTAGATGAGTCAACCAGTAATCTTAATCACTACCTCGACAATGCTTCTGTTGATAGTAGCTATCATAAGGATAATAGTTTACAGTCTATTGATAAATTAGAAGATAATGATGTAAATATCGACGAGTACAGCGTCGACTTGCCGTCTACTTCTGTGTATAATAATCCTACTGTAAGTTGTAATATTGTGATTATGCGAATATATATGTACATATTCTACGTAGTTAAATATTTAACGTAGGCAATTTAGCAGATACACTTGCTGTAGTGATTGGTAATCAATGTTTTATTTTTGTCGCTATTATATTTCTCATATTCAGTTAAGTAACTTTTTTTCTCTGCTACCGTTGTAGCATTATTATTATTGTTTCCTTTAATTCCTAGAGGAACATAGGGCTTCATCCGCGCGTCTCCATTGCGTTCGGTTCTCTGCTAGAGTTTTCACTAGGCTCCAAGTCTGCCTAAATGTTTTCATCTCCTCTTCACATTACCTCCTCCAAGTCACCCTTTCACTGACAACCAACTCGCCGCTTCCCTTTCGGGTTCCACTTGAGTGCTTGTCTAGTAATGTCACTTTATGGTTTCCTCAGAGTATGACCAATCCACCTCCATTTCTTCCTGCCTATTTGTTTCACAATCGGTTCCTTGTTGGTTCGTTCATTGCCAGAGATCCCTGTTGCTGATCTTTTCTGGCCAGCCATCTGATCTTGAGTAGTATTGAGCGAAGACAACTGTTAATGAAGGTCTCAAGTTTGCTTGAGATGCTCTTTATGACGCGCTGGCCAAGTCTCTGATCCGTATAGTGAGTAGCACTGACTGATTTCACATTGGAGTTGAAAATCCGGATGTTATTTTTGATGCTGATTGGGGCTGTTGACCTCCACACAGACTTAAGAGTAATGAAAGTTTGTCTTGCTTTTCCGATTCTTGCTTTGATATCCTCGTCAGTTCCGTTGGCCTGTAGTTGAAACGATGCTTCCCAGGTCGGTGGGTAAAGGAGGTTGTTTCTTTCAGGTTCCTCCCATTTATGCTGGCTGATTGTTGTCTTTTGTTGGTGGTGTTGCTGTTGGTGTTGGCCAGGAATCTTCATCACCTCTGTTTTATCTATGTTCACCTGAAGTCCTATCTTCTTTGGATGCTTCTTTTGCCAACTTGTTGCTTTTCACTTGCATATCTTCCAGTTTGTGGGAAATCAGACATATATCATTGGCAAAGTCCAGACCCTCCAATTGTTTTGTGTGAGTCCATTTTATGCCTATTTCCTCACTGCCCGCTGTTTGTCGTATTATCCAATCTACTGCAATCAGAAAGATCAATGGCGATAGTAGGCAGCCTTGTCTAACTCCCGTCCTTACTTCGAAGGATTCCGTAAGTTTCACGTTGTGGATTACCACTGTAGTACAAAGTTTTAATCCACGATTTACTGCCGGAATAATAATCATTATTTTGCGTTGATTTGCTATAAGTAGTATACCATAATCTATGAAAACATTTATGCGCCTCCATGTTCAATAATGCGTATACACTTTCTGTGCATAGTTGAAATATCCCCATAATGTGAACTTTTTAGGTGTTATTTATAGGTTTGATTTGATTTCAAACAAGGATCGAACAGTTATTCCCATTACTCTTGTGTCTGTCAATCCCCTTTTCTGTTGTGCTGATTCCGTTTCGTTATGTAGTTCACCTTAGACAAGATGGAAGTTATGAAAATAACCAACAACAACAACACCAACATACAGCAACAATCACCATCAACGGGAGGGATTTGAAAGAGGTTACTTCATTCACTTATCTAGGGAGCATTGTCTCAACTACAGGAAGTCGGAACGGACGAGGATGTCAAATCGAGCGAGAATCGGGAAGGCATCGAGAAACACATTCATCAACCAACTGAAACTTGGCGGGTGGGTCACAAAGAATATTTCCAACAGCCTGTTGCAGACCAGACCTTTATCAACAACTGTCTTCGCTGGATCTATACTGAAGATCAGATGTCCAGACGGGAAAGAATCCCCAACAAGAAACTATGGCTAGGAACAAACAAAACAAGAACCAATCGCCAACCAAAAAATATGCAGGAGAAAGTGGAGATGGATTGGACACTCGTTGAGGAGACCACTGGGTGACATCGCGCGCGCGTCAGGCCATTACTCGAGGGGAACTCGAAAGGGAAGCGGCGAGTGGGACGTCCAAGGGTGACATGGAGGAGATCGTGTGAAGAGTTGAGGAGTCGAAAGAGTATGGACTAACATGGATGTAGGTGCAAAGTACAGCAGAAAACAGAAGGAAGTGGAGACGTGCAGTTGAAGCCCTATATTCCACTAGGAACCCAAGAGAACAATAATAAAATAATGATATGTAGTTCACCTTAAAATTTTCAAAATATACAGAGATATTTTTGTCTTGCTGTAGCAAGTAAATGAAATTAAATTGAACAAAAAGTGATGGGGAGTTAGTTAACTGAGTCACATAAAATCCAATATAAAACCGTAATTATCCATTAATTTTAATTAATTGTTAGTTGTTGCTTTTTTTATGGTCACAAATAGCAAAACAAACTTGCTTGTATCACTAAGTTCTCATCTATCTAGTGTTTGAATGATGGACAGAGATTTTTATGTTTCAAAACGTCATACTCTTCTATATCAATCACATTGGATAAAATGCTCTGATACATATTCGCTCTAAGTCAAGTTGGAGAAAAGGAATATGAAGAAAAAAAGAGAAGACATTCAGTGAAGAGACCGTTTTTCAGCGAATTCATTCACATAGCTGTACAATCGCATTTATATATAATTATTTGTGTGTGTGTGTGTGTGTGTGTGTACATGAGGTTTGTCAAGTTTAGATATTTAATTAGGTAATACAAGAATGATCTAATATAGAAACAAGATTAGTTAGACAGCAACTTAAGTAAGATTGAGTTAGTAAGTTAAATGACGTAATAGAATTGACTAAAATTTTTCAACTTAGGTCAGAATAGCAACAGAGGTAATTACAGGTGGAGACTGAATAGAGGTAGGATAGAGAATAATGCTATTTAAATTAGGACTACAATTGAGCAAGTAAATTGGATGACGTAGCATAAAAGACTAAAAAAATTGATTAAATAGATTGGATGACGTAGTATAAATGACTGAAAAATTGAGCAAATAAGTTGGATGACGTAACATAAATAACTAGAAATTGAGCGTTGATCAAGTCAGTAATAATGGTAATGAGGTATAGAAATTAAATTGGTTGGGGGTGGGGTAGAGAACAGGAAAGTTGAAAATGTAAAATTTACAATTGAAAAGACAAAATAATACGAATGAAGAGACAGAGAAAGTTAGAATTTACTTGTCTGATACTAAAATAGATTACGTCTATTGCAAGTGTAGTGATTGAACGAATTTCCTCTGTATGCAGAGTTCAAGACTTAACAAGTGAATTGCGATTGCTTCTGCATTGTGTGAAGTTTTATTCCTACACTTTTAGGAAGACTACTTCGTATTATACAGACAACTTTGAAGCTTCTTCGCAGTGTAGCTGGGTGTCCGGAATCTATCAGATGTTCTAAGAGAGAGAGAGAGAGAGAGAGCTGCGGTGCATCGGAATATGCACATAACCGTGATAAGTATCAACAGTGGTGTTTAATTTCTGATATAAAAAAAATCTTTTAACTGTGAGAATGGCTAACTGAAGCTGTCAATTAGTAAACAACGGTTTTATCGGTTTTCCTAATAGTCCTAAGGATAATATAGTGTTTCAGTCAGTATTAAGAGTGAGCTACTAATATGTGTACAGTGGATTTGGTTAAGCATAAAGTTATGTCTCGCGTCTTACTAGTACACAGAGCTTTTTTCCGTGTTGTTGGTTTTTCTGTGGGTGTATTTCGTGGCTTTTTTTATAACAAATACATTGGTTCTGTATAGAAAATATTAATATTGGCCTCAATCTATCTGAGTGAGGATTAGAGAGATTTCGTGTGCATTTCGGATTGTGAGGGCGATTGTTACTTCCCGGCTGCCCACACCGTGGAAGTTGGTTGCGTGACCGCAGAGCCCAGGAGACAAGTGCTTGAGGCCGGCCACACACGGCCTGTTTTTGTTTGTTCTTTATTGTTTGGTGTGTCTCAGTAGCATATTTATCACTTCTGACCTGTGACACGGCAGCAGGAAGCGCGGTCTTTGTTAATCCGGGCCCCGACAGATCCGGCATGATATTTTGTTAGTTTGTTTGTATCATAGTATTGAATTGGGTAGCTGCTTTTTGTCTAACCGTTATCCAAACAACCTTTCTGGCATGGTAGGACCTCAAGCGATATAAGTTTCAGCAAGTATAGCTTGTTGGGACATTGCGGTGTTCAAGCCCGACCATCACGTCAAGGTAGCAACTTTCGGTCGGGTTGGCCGCAATCAAGACCATTTCGCCCGGTTATTCTTGTATGTCTGTCTACCAGCTAACTCCATTGTTGTGATATAAATTCAGCACAAATAGCTGTTTTATTCTACTGATGATTAAACATTACGTTATTCCTGTGTATGGCAGCAGCACTTTGTGAAGTCACTTTTGTCTAGTCTATCCACGATGCATGTTATTTAACAATTATGCATATGTCTCCATTATAGATAAGATTTTATTTTGATAGGTCACACAGTGTTACACAGTAATATTAACCGATGACCACGTTTCGAGCACAAACTATTGCCACTCATAATCATATGAAGTTACTCACACGACTTTTTCCCTTCATTTATATACATGTCTGGAAGCGATTAGATATTGAAATAAAAATCAATATATGATAATGTACATTCAGAAATAATAATACGAGTGTTATTGATCAATTACAATCAGATGGGAAATTAGACGAGTGTTTTTATCGTCATAATAAGTAACTTGTTAGAATGCTGTAATGTGCTTGAATTGAAATAGAATTTTGAGATTATTTATTATCCTTCTCTGATTTGACTGGTGGTGATATCTTCCATATTTCTGGTATTTGCATTGAGTCATTTCTGTTGCATGTGTTGGGTGTAGACTTGATGAACAAATATTCAGTTATCAACCTCTCTCGTTCCCCACCTACCTTTATTACTTCTTAGAATCTTAACCCTCTCCTACCCTGTTGTGTGGTTGTGTGTTAATGCATGTGGTGCAGTTGCTGAGCTTATGATTATGATACGACTATGAGCAATAATTTGTGCTCGAAACGTCATTAGTTAATATTACTGTACAACACTGTGTGATTTATCAAAATAAAATCTTGTCCATAATGGAGTTATACTCTACCACAGTGCCTAAGTTTTATACTTATATCAATTGTGCATATGATTTGCAATTTCCACTTTTTGGTTTTGACAACTAAATGCCTTTTCTTTTTTACTGTCTTCATTTCAGCCTCAATTCAACGTACCTGTTACCGAGTTAAGAGTTGTTAGTCCGGTTGTTGGTAATGGAACTACCGTTGCCTCTCCTGCTACTGGTGGAAGGCCACAACATCGTGTTCTAGCTAGACGAAAATATGGTATATGCAGTCCTCCAGCTTGTTTGGAGGAATTAACACAGGCTTTAATCTCACAGCAACAACAACATCAGCAACAATCTTCTTCAATGAACGACAGAGATATTACGGACGATGAAAACTTCCAGTAATAATAATAATAATCAACACATTTAGATCGTAGCTGTTTTTATCGACTGAAATAATACGAAACAGTTTAGAACACAAAAGTAGAGATAAATTCTCTGTTCATTGATTAGAGAGTAATGCACAGTCGTCTTAAACAGCAGAAACCTCAAGATATCCGCTAATACCGATGTCTTTCATTCTTGTTCAACTGTTTAAAAATAATATCACCTATCGGCAATTGAATAATATATCCTTCATTGTTTCTATTTCATTATTATTATTGCTGTTGTTATTCACCCTAGTACTTGATGACAAGTATACACGTTTTTAATATATGTATTAGTAGTAAGTACATCATACATAATATTATATATACATACACAGAGCACGCTTATACATTTTTTTCATTTCATTGTCTCGGTGTGGCTGGGAGAGACACTTATCCCTCGTATTCACATCTACACTCATTTTACTTTTCAGAAAATTTTCTTCCCAATTATAATACTACCATTATTTGGGGGGTATGTTGTTTTACTTTTCAACTATCTATTCATTATTTTGACGTAATTCTTCATTTTTAAGTAAATTTAGACGTACGTATATTGAATCAAGAAGATGTGTAGTAGTTATATAATTAATATATACATCTCGATGGAAATATCAATTGTCATAAATATCATGTCCATGTATATCTTGGTCTGTGTGTGTGTTTGTGGACGTGTGCACGCGCGACTGAGTACGTAACTGTTCATATATTTGTGGTCTACCTACCCATAAACATTACTATTATTATTATCATCCGACTTTACACCCTTTTATTTATCTTTTCTAATAATAAGTTTCCAGGCGTTATTATGTTATCTGTATATACGATGTGTGAGTGTGCGTAAGTGTGTGTACATACGTGCTTTCTTAATAATAAGCAGAATGGAACATGCACATTACATTTCATTTGATTGCCCATTTGATTTGTTCTTTTAATCCCTAATGATATACTAGTAATAATAATAATAATAATAATTGTGCCTAAGCTTTTCATTCGAATTTTTTCTTCCTGTCTCTTCTTCTCTTATTTTTTATGTCATTTTATCAATTGAAAACTGTGATTTATTTATTTATTTATTTATTTATTTATTTATATGCACCGTGCATAGATAGAGTCCTTAGGCGCGCCTCTTCTTCTACGACTATTTCACATCCATTATCTCTCTCCTATTCTCTCTCCATATATATATATATATATATCTTATTGTAATTTCTCGAAGAAAAATGTGTAGGGTGTGTAATTCTTATTTGCAATTGGGCAAACAACAGTGTTAACTTTATTTATTTGTTGTATAGATATCTAAAGAAATAAAACCCTATAAATTATATATATACATTGATTTGAAATTGATTCCATGTTACCACCAATCCTCTGGTATTAATCTTTTTATTCGTTTATATTTATCATTACTGTAGAGGACTTGATTCACACTGCAACTGTTTTTAGTCAACAAACATTCTGATAAATGTTTTGCAAAATACTATGCCTATTGATCTCATGAAATATAATGATAGGCCGATTTTGGTTGAGGTTGTATGCAATCCTCTAGTGTCTGTATATATATATATATATATATATATATATATATATATATATATATATATATATATATATATAAACTTGCTTATAGCTTGTGCGTTTTATAATTTTAAAGTGTGTTTCCACACAAAGACGTGATGATTCTTGATTTTTAAATAATGAGTTGAATTCAACTGTCTGTGAAGTGTGGTTGCTTTTATTTACAAGCCCTATTTGGTTGATGTGAGTGTTATCCAACTATTCATGTCAAGGAAACTTAATTAACCCTACCTAAGTTCCTATTATTTACGAAGACGCTTCGAATCGGTAATTACTATGAACGATTTGTCGACTTTAACTCCAAAACACAAGGACTAATAAGAAAATCATATTCTTCGACAGTTAAATTCGATATCGTTACAAAGTCTATCAAGAAATGTTTTACAAAGAATGTATTGTACTTTTATTCGTATTCCATCGTTTTCTTCCTATAACTTGTACACGATTGAATCATTCACGCTTTCGACTTGCCCGCCAATGGTGACCAAGGCCAATGAACCAACGTTCAATGTTCACATTTATTTATAACTCATGTTAACCGATCAGTAGTAGTATATGGCATCATGTTTTGTAAGCTTTTTTCCATTAGTTAGTAATGAATACCAAATGTGTATAGTGCTCCAAACAGTATGTGTATTTCCTGTTTTAGATGAATCGATGGTTAGAGGTTTGAACCCTGCTCCGTATAAATTCAGTAAAAACTTGATATAATTAGTCCTTGCATAACAAGTTCGAATATACGTCTAAGCGATCATTAATTCGTACTGCTGGTTTTCTGTTTGCATCAGGAATAGGATAATCATTCATTTGAATGTAAATAATGATGCAGTTGCTTTCCGAGTTTGGCTTACAGATTCGCAGTGTTTTTCACAGCTCAGTGTATCACTTGTTGTTGACTTACAGTGGCATCCGACTTTTCATAGACTCACGAAATTATTACGCTCATAAATCTGCGTTACTATTGGCACCAGTTATGCTAGTTCAGGATTTATAGACAAGAAAGTTGACTAAATTTACTTATACAAACCACTATGGTAACAACAGAAGACAAGGGCCAGGTAACAGATTCTTTATTGAGGAAATCAACACATATTTATAGTTTTGTAAGAAAAAAGCACAAACAGCGAAGAAAATTTTCTTTTCGATGATTCATTTTCATGAGCTGTATAATCGTAACTATAATTAACACAGAAACTTTTTGACCAATCAGGTAAACTTTGTCCTTGAAAATTCTACTACATAATGTAGGGTGTAAGAAGGGATGACTAATTGTAAGTTAGGAAGGAGACAGAAGTTGGGATGACCTAATAAGTGTGAGATAATGACTAATCAATAAGCTAGTGGAAAGGCTATAAAGTAGTTTTGTATAAGATCTTGTGAAAAAGCAATGTTATTAATCAACAGTTATAGAGTGGTAATAAAATATGGATGATGGGAATAGTTATAATAATAAAAGTATATATTATAGATTATTGTTAGCAGAAAGACACAGTCTTCTGATTGGTTGTTTCTCACAGAAAGTTAACCTTGCATTTCTTTGTGACTGTCTCTTGAATGTCAGATCATCTATATGCTAACTGTATCCGCCTACGAAAAGCCTTTGTTCTCATTTTTCTCACGACCAATATTGGGGACATCAACATTGACGTGAATTACTGTCCACCAATTTCGACTAACATCCAACTCTCATCACACTATGACGGTGTAATGATTCATTGTGAATGTGCGTCGGTGGCACAGCGGTTAGGACGCTCACCGACCATACACATGGTCAAGGATTCGATCTCCGGCTGACGCACACCTGATATCAATGGTTGGTCTGATAAATTTGGGCTACAGATATCAAATGCTGAAAATTCCATACTTGTACCAAAATACTATATAGAATCAAGTTATAAATAAAAAAAAATAAATAAAAATAAAATACATCATACTACACCGTTGCACTTGTAGATCCCACCACTTCTGTAAGGTCTAATGAATAGTTCGAAAGTTAACAACTTCGTTATTGCAGTTTGCTTACATTGTGTTGGAGCACTAAAAGTGGAGTGTACTTCTAGCAGGAAGAGATACATAACAAATTGGATTGATGACCAGCAAACCAGGTTTTTTTATCTATCCTATTCTTTAGATTTATATATTCCGATTCAACTATACGTAGTTGACCAAAACGCACCCGTGTAGTAACTGGAGTCCAGAAATCCCAATTCTTCAAAAAAGACAATGTGAAGGTTTACAGAGGAAGTTCTGCTGTTTTCACATAAAATCATTCTTTATCTAAGCATAAGGAGAAGATATGAACTCTCATGTAAGCAGTCAGGAAGTGTCCGTTTACATTTGTCCCAATTTCTTTTCTCAGCTTCAAACATTTTACAACTTCTTTTCATCGTCTACCTGTAGCTTTTTGATCCTTAATGCATACACTAACAATCTAATTCATATGGTAACATACGGAAGATTTTGATATCCATTCGTGTAAGTTCTACTACTATCGCTTTCAGAACGCGATTCTAGAAATTCCATATTCATGTGCTTATTGGATATATATATATATATATATATATTACACAGTGAAGGGGCATTATTTACTGGCCGACGTTTCGAAAACAGTTCATATTCATGTGAATAAAAGTGGCATTCCAACTTAATTAGAAACAAAATGTGCTGGTTGAAAGCATCTTTTGGATACCATTAAATAAAGTAATTTAGTTAATCTAATACCCTGCACTGATTGTAGTAGGTTAGGTTCAATTGGATTAGCAGAGAATAAGAACGTAGCGAACCCTAATAAGATAAGAAGTCTAGAAAAGAGCTTAGCTGTATCACTACACACAGTGTCGCGCAAACATCCATTAAGATGGAAAAATGGGACTCCTAATATCTAATATAACAAAGTGGAGGGAGAAATTGATGACGTCTCTGACTTCAAAACTGGGTGACGCGGATCCGAATCTCAGAGTAAACATGACCTCCTTCAATAGGCCTTGCTGATGAAAGGCAAGAAAAAAAAGCCTAAATCGATGGCTTCCTGTCGATCGCCTTCAACCACTTAACTGAACATTTATTTATCCAATCAGCTGAGAACACATGAAGTAGGAATGACTCAACACCTATCTGGGACACCTGGAAAATTCTACCATCTTTAGAAAAAATAATAAAGAACGAAAATTAGAAGAATCAGTTTTCGGATTTACATGGTCCCAGTTCATACTACTATGAGCAATAAATTGTGTTCGAAGCGTCACTCATTAAATAATAATAATAGTAACAGCTTTATTCCAAACGGTATTTGTGGTACAGGTATGGAATTTTCAGCCTCCATTACAGTATATTGCATCTAATTACCTCATAAATTATATAAGATTTTTAAAATCAACAGATAAATAAATAAAATAGATAAAAATAAAAAAACAGCGTAGAGTTTACATTTCAAACAATGCACCACAGGATATGAAATATAAAGTTGATGTGTGATAGAAGATGAGAACAACAGTGTAATAGTAACGAGGAAAGGAAAACAAAAACTAATGGGACTATTTGTTAGAGTGCCGCAGTAAGTTTATCGTGTCATACCTAACGGATTTCTCATCACATAACAGCTGTGCCAGATATGGTATTGTGGAGTTTTTGTATTTGGTAGTCCTAGCATATAGCCTCCTATAGCTGCTTCTAGTTCTACCAGATGAAATGCAAGGAGATAGATGCGTATAGAGAGGATGCTCGGGGTCCGACAATATTGTATTCGCTAGTTTCTTACATGATATAATATGTCTATCTACAATAGTGTTCACCAGTTGGTTTAACGATATCCCACTTGCCCTACTAACGGCTTTTAGTGCCCTTCTCAGCGAAGCAAAGTCTTTCTTAAGTAGTCCAGGAAAGATTAATGGGGAGCAGTAAAGGGGATGGGTAGAATACAAGAATTTACAAACTGAGAAAGCAAAGACTGCTTTATACCAGACTGCCTAAATTTCCTAATGTAGAACGTTAAGCGAAACATCTTTCTAGTAACTAGCAAGATGTGGGAAGACCAGGAAAGATCGGTGGAAAAACTCAGCCCAAGGTACTTGACATTGAATGTATTTTCAACCTCTGTGCCGTCAATGATAGTGGGGCCATGTGAGCTAACTAGTTGCTGTAGGTCACATTTACGTCTGAAAGTGAAATTGACTACCTGACATTTAGACGGATTAAGCTTAAGTCCGTTTGAAGAGGACCACTGACTAATTTCCGACAGAAAGTTATTTAATTTGGAACAATCTGACTGAGAGTTGACAGGCATAGAAACCGAGAGGTCATCGGCATATTTAACAAAAGTGGCTACATCAGAATGAGGCAAGTCATGTAAGAAAAACGAAAACAGAAAGGGAGAAAGAACAGCACCTTGAGGAACACCAGCTAAAGTAAGTGAGGTAGTGGAGGACTTTCCATTGTAGACGGTGTACTGCTTCCTATCAGAAAAATAGGAATGCAACCACTTATTTGTCCAGCTTTCAGCCTGTGTTGCAGCAAGCT